CAAACGCAATTTTTTCTAAGAACACCATTTGAAATTGCATTAAAGCATCGAACTAACTTACAGAAATAAAACATGCTACGTAAACGTATGTAAAATGTTGGGCAGATATGAAAGTCAATTTCGAAGAAACGAGAGAAGCTTTGCTTATATCATTTTTAAATCATGCTAAAGAAGGCAGTATTTCCTACAAAAATGTCCTTGATGCAATCTGGTTGCGGTTAAAAATTGTTGGACTTGAAACGCCGTTCCAGGAAAAAATTTGAGTCTTCTTAGCCTTGTAATTAAAATCGTACCTAGTAATTTTTCGCTAAAAATCCCCATAAATGCCTGTATTATAATTGAAAATAGACCCAATGCTTTGGAAATGTTTCATTAGTGAGATTATGAATGCGATGAACGTTATCGCAATTCTCTCATTTCCATTAGTTATTTTTAGGAGCAGGTACGTTCTTGACGAACACAAAGTCTTTTGCGTTCCCAATAAGTTTACTAAACTGTAACAACGAGAAAACTATTGGATATGACTGGAGAAATGTCATTTTTAATCGCGCAAATTGTTATCCACACTGTTCACGTAAAATGTTTGTAGCTAAACATGTCCTCAGTGTGATAAATAGGTGCATTTTTTTACCTCGAATCGTAACTATAAGCTAATAACGTATTAGCATTGAGTAAAGAATTTATTTATTCAAGCCTTCAAGCGATAGGCGATGTTATAATTAATTAAATGTGTTTAATTAAGACATAATTTTTTATACAAAATGAAACCAAATTATTAAAATTTGAGGTGCACGATTATTCGTTCTTGAATCCGTATACTCTTCTTTTACCTGAATCATGAATGCATTTATCTAGTTCGTTAGGCATTTCTGTGAGCATCCGTCATCGCATACGATTCTTAGAATTGGTACAAGGTGCGTACTGCATCCAATTTCAATGTTGCAAAGGGTGAAAGAGGTACAATCGATTAAACGTTCTTGAATCGCTTTGCTATGCATATTTTCAACTGGTGCTGCACCGTTATCAATACAACACTAACACAAGCTGCATGTGAAATAGTTGCAGCTATTTTTAAACGACATGGATGTAATCATGAGAGAGCGACCACTCCACAACTAAAGTACCTATTTTCTCATGGGCTGTTAATTTTATTTCGAAACGCTAGCGCAGTTCAGAACCACTCAATCCTAGTGACTTTTCTAGGAGGATTTTAGTGTGATTTAGAATCACCCGTACACTACCATCGACAAGAACCCTCAGGCGCAAACCGAATTACTTTAGCTCGGACGCAAACCTTCGAACTTTATCTCGAGCACAAACCTTGACGTTAGCACAGGCGCAAACCTCGCTACCGCAGTTCAGAACCACTCAATTCTAGTGACTTTTCTAGGGGGATTTTTCATCTAGTGAGATTTAGAATCGGTCGTACACTACCATCGGCAACAACCCTCAGGCACAAACCGACTTACTTTAGCTCTGACGCAAACCTCCGATACTTTATCTTGAGCACAAACCTCGACCCCCTTGACGTTAGCACAGGCGTAAACCTCGCTACCACAGTTCAGAACCACTCAATTCTAGTGATTTTTCTAGGGATTTTCATCTAGTGAGATTTAGAATCAGCCATATATTACCATCGACAAGAACCCTCAGGCACAAACCGACTTACTTTAGCTCTGACTTTGAGAACGCGTTAGCTTAGACTCACTTTAGTTCAAGACACAACCCGCGTGACCTTCAACTCTTAGCTCGGACACAAACCTCCGATACTTTAGCTCAGACGCAAACCTCGATCCCTTCACCTTGACGTTAGCACTGGCGCAAACCTCGCCAGCAGAGTTACAAACCTAGTTACTTTTCTAGTGACTTTTTGATTTAGAATCGACCCCTATATCACTAGCAGAGTTTCAACCCTCTCGAGTGACGCAGAGTCTCAAACCTAGTTACTTTTCTAGTGACTGTTAGCAGAGTTTCAAACCTCTCGTGACCTTCTAGTGACTTTGAGCAGAGTTTCAAGCCTACACATGGCCTTCACTTTTGAGACCCCAAATGACCTTGAACACGCGTATGGGAATTTCAATGCAGGACCTGGCCCCAACACCGAGCGCAATAACCCATGGGGTGACTAACCCAATGGCTTAGCACACGCGCAGTAGTTCAAATGACCTTGGAATTGGTGCATGCGCAGTAGTATCAAATTTGGAGTTGGCGCATGCGCAGAACTCAAGGTCAAAGTGGTCCAGGATCGGTGTTGCTCTACTACTATTAGAGACGGATGTCGTAAAGTGCGCAAGACGTGCTTGCCGTATTTCTACATTGTGCTTTCCCGTAGCCATCAACAATAGATCAACGTGTAGACGGTAGAAGTAATTACCACCAATTAGCACCAATCGAACAGTTTAGAAGTTGACCCACTGCGCTTATATAAAGAAGCAGGCAGCCATTACACGTACAGTTATCGTTGTTAGTAATGCCCCTATTTATGAAGCAATTATCTTTCAGATCGAAGATTGCTATGAAAAGATTGGAGGAGGCTTTTGTTTCGTCGTTCTATTTTTCCTTAAAGAAGTTAGCACTGCTCCATATCCCTTGCTGTATTTAAGTAATTTTAATTTTCTATTGTTAACACCAAATAACCTTTGCCTAGGAGGCCATTGTTTTCCTTTTTTCTCGGTCACGGAGCGGAAACGGTTTCGACTAAGGTCCCTATTACATATCCATCCCTGAAGAGCCAAGCATACAGCGATATCTCAGTTATGAGGTTCAGTAACGGTCGACTCTCAAGTCTACCACATGGCACTCTAAAACATGTTTCGGGCTGGATCTACCTCTTAATTGGGTAAGACAACATGTACCAGTGAAAAACTGCACAAAGTTTCCTAGGCACGCCCTGATAGATTTTTTAGGATTGGGTATTGCAAAATATGGAGAGTAGTATCATTATAGGTCAGGTTTCTTCAAAATTTTGTTGTGGTATCTTTTTAGGCGAATGGTTTCCGAGTACAAACATGCCGAGTTAAATATGCATACGAAAGCTTATGGGGCAAGACTATCGTGACGATAGACCTAGAATTACAGGGGGATTGTATTTCTTTTGCATCCGTCGTCGTTATCAGGCCTGGTTTTCCTATATGCTGCGAACTTAAGTGAACATACTGTATAATTTATGTATGGACCCGTTTAGAAACAAAATTTTGTATTTGAATTTAACGTATGATGAAATTACACAACTTTTGAAAATCATGTGGCAGTCAGTGCCATAGGAGATGAAATTTTCTTGAGCGGAAATACATCATTTAGTCTGGTTTTCTACTTTTGCGCTGATCGGTTCTGTCCGTATTTGTGAACTTCGAAGAATTACAA